ACATCAACCTGTAAATCTCACAGTTTATGCCAATTAAACGAGATTTAAAATTTAAACGCAAATTTGTAGCTGCATAAAAAGTGAATAACCCAAATTACGAATCTTCAACAAAAGGAAGAAATATGTATGCAATTGAACCCAATCTTCCCTAAATTAGCTGGCGCCTTTTGCAAATAAAAGAGATGCTACTAAAAAGGAAATTGTTGAAACGATCCAAAACAGGAAAACAGGGTTTGATTGTTTATAAATTATTTTACTCACTTTTATTTCAATTCAAAATTTATCTCAATTTTAACTCAACCTCACTATCTTTAATATTATTCATATAATTAAATAATACAAACCAATCATTCTTACACATCACATCAACTTTAATTCACTATTCATCCACTCACATAATTTTAACTACATATCATTTCCAATAATTTATCTCTTACTTTTACATCAAATTAATTTTAATTATTTTATTTAATACATTTTTAAAATTCCACTAACAACTAATCATACCACATTTTTTAAAATTAACTATGGTTAACAAAAATAACTCATTTTGAACAAATTATTCCCAAAAACATCAAGCCCTCACTTTTCTAGTTTAGAAATTCCATAAATAAAAACAAAAATTACACAAGTCCAAAAATATTGGGACCTGATAGTCAATGGTAGCCATGAAAAATACTACAAGTAAAATACAGAAATATGTTACTAAGTAAAATATACTATAAGTAAAATACAGAATTACTACAAGTATTCCTTGAACGAACATAAGAATTGGAGAAAAATGTAATATCATACATAAAAACACCAAGAAATAAACTTGATAACATACAGTCATCCAAAACATGTCCAACATATTCCATAAAACACCATGCCCAAAAGGAGGAACAACAGAGATTAGTTTGTCTACATAGTCTGACAAAAATAAATGATAGAACAACAATGTCAACCAACATCATTAAACATCAAATTCAGATGTTAATTAGTATAGGGAAGTGCTAGCAAACTTCGATAATTTGTCGGCAATGGACCAGGTGAATCATCATCACTCTCGGAATCTTTTTCCTGCTTCATTTTTCCATGTGTGTACAACAGGTATGAAAACCTTAACCGCTCGATATTAACGTCAAAGGTGTCAGCATTGATGGGCTCATTAGAAACAATATACACCGCAAATGAAGCAACGAATACGCCACAATCACTGGCAAGAATATAAACAAAAAATACAAAAAAATATAATTATTATTTAAATAAAAAAAGAACATATCAAAGTTGTAAACTACATTAAAATACAACTTACCAGCATTGCTGCCGGGGCAAATCTTCCACCAAAATGACATCAAGAGGACCATTCTCTGCCTTTCCCGAGTATGGACCAATGTTTGTTTTGATGTCAGCACGTCTAGAGACAAATTTTACCAAAGAAAGACATATGGGGATCAATATGGAATATCGCTTGACACGTTTTATTTTCTCAAATGGAATGTCGACCACCGACACAAGATCATCCACATTCTGGTTACCCCGTATACCAATATCAAGACCTCCAATAACACATGTAGTGTCCTTCATTAAAGAAACATAACAGATCACTACAGATAAACTACAGATAAACCAACAAAAAACCACAGATAAACCACAGTTAAAAAAACCACAGATAAACTACAGATAAACCAACAAAAAACCACAGATAAACGACAGATAAAAAAAAACCACAGATAAACCACAGATAAACCAACAAAAAACCTCAAATAAACTACAGATAAAACCACAACTGAAGAGATAGAATAAACCCGCGCCCCGAATCTCATGATCTTCCTACTGAAGTCAAACCACATTTCATCCAACCTTGGCTGGTGTACTTCTCGCAATGAAATCAAATTGACAAGTTGGTTCTGAACCTTACAACGAGGTAGGTCGATAAATTAACCCAAAGCAGAATTTCTAAACAACTCCAATTAATCGTTGGACAACAGACGCTTAATGTCTGCAATAGGTGTGGTAGAACGACTATTATCATTGCTGTTGATTATCTTCACGGTCAATACTCTTGAGTTTGGAATAATTAATTCCCAATCCTAATGAAAAGAAACAAACAATTGATACCAACAATAACACTAAAACATATATGCTAGATCTAAATAGTTTATACATACATAAACATTGGTACCTACAATGACATTATTTGCTTGTCAACATGGATAGCAACAATTTTTGTGAGGATCTTTTTTTTTCCGGAACGACAGAGATAACTATACAACAAACAAAAGGCGAACCGAGTTCGAATTACAACCAAACAACTGGAAAAGAAAGGAAAAAGTGAGAGACGCGGAACAAGCGGTCTAGAACCTCAACAAAGACTGATCACTGAAATAAACAACAACAAACTAGATAAAAAAACACCCGCCACTGCTCAAAGAGCCTAGCAAGGAAAATAAAAGAGCAAGAATAAAACACAAAGCCAACATAAAACTAAACAAAAGATTAAGAAGTTGCCGAAGAGAACTCCATCCAGTCTTCAGAAGCCAATTTGACCAAGACGGGTTCCGGGATGCGAGTGTTTTGAAATATCCATAAGTTTCTGGACTTCCAGAGCCACCAGAGTATATAAGTCGAAAGAAGAATACGAGCCTCGGCAACTTCAGAATTGTCCAGAGAGCAGACCTGATACCACCAAGTTTTAAAAGAGTCAGTACAACACAGTAAACCATCCCATTGAACTGGACTAAGCTTCCAGCAATTTACTGCCCTGCTGCATGAGAAGAACAGGTGTTCTACTGTTTCAGCTGCTTCACCACACAAAGTGCAAGTAGTCTCCAAGTCTAATCCCCTCCTTCTCAGTTTGGTAGTTACAGGAAGTGAATCAGCAAGACACTTCCAGAGAAAAATCTTGATTTTACCAGGTAACTTAAGCTTCCAGTGTCTGAAAGATATGGATTTTTGGAGGAGAGCTGAGGAACTGCTTTCTGGGGGGTCCATCTTCTGAATTTTAGAAGATAGCATATGAGCATAAGTCTGAGATACTAAAAATAAACCTTTCTTATTCAAGCCCCAATATAACCTGTCCTCTCTGGAAGGAGAAATAGTGGTAATTTTCAGGATAGCAGAACAATCAACTTCATCAAACACCTGCTTTAATAACCAGTCATTCCACTGAGTACCCTCATTGTTCAATAAATCCCTAACCCAAATCAAATGATCTCTTGCAATAGGTATGAGAGAAGGACAGGGTTTGATGTGATTTGGAATCCAGTTTAGATCAGTGATTTTAGTCTGCACACCACTTCTGATTTCAATGTTAAGGCATTTAGCAAAGTAAGGGAGAACTTGCATCCAACAATTCCACATCCAAGAGCCATTAGAAGTTCTAGAAGCATGAACCAGAGAGCAATTAGGGAAGTACCTTTCTTTCAGAATTCTGCTGACAAGAAGCTCTGGGTTTGTGGCAATTCTCCAGAGCTGTTTACAGATCAAGGCTTTGTTGAAGAGTGGTAGATCAATGAAAGATAAGCCTCCATTTTCTTTGGGAAGAGAAAGATGGTTCCAGCTCTTCCAATGGATTCCATGTGCCTGGTCAGTCCCAGACTTCCACCAGAACTTTGCACATGATTTTGTGATTTCAGAGCAAATAGAGATTGGCAGAGTGAAACAAGCCATTGTGTAGACAGGAAGGGCTTGAATAATGGACTTGATGAGAACTTCCTTCCCTGCTGAGCTAAGCATCTGAGATTTCCAAGATGTGATCTTGGATTTAACTGAGTTCAGCACATAATCAAAAACTTGCTTTTTTGATCTACCTATACCCAAAGGCAAGCCAAGGTATTTGGTTGATCTGTGAGAGACAATATTATTCAGAGCATTGCAAATTGATCTCCTCAGATGGGAAGATGTGTTTCTGCTGAAGAAAACTGCAGATTTCTGGAGATTAACCGTTTGGCCAGTGAATAACCTGTATTTCTCAAGAATGCTCATCAAAAAACCAGCCTGATCAGTACCAGCCTTAAGGAAGAACAGAGAATCATCAGCAAAAAGAATGTGAGATAACACAAGCCCATTTCTAGACAGTTTCAATCCTTTGAGCATACCAGAAGTTATAGAATGTTGAATCAAGGCAGTGAGCAACTCAGTGACAATAAGAAAAAGGTAGGGGGATAAAGGATCCCCCTGCCTTATACCACGCGAGGGAAGGGCAAAACCACTGATGTTGCCATTAATTTTTAAAGAAAATGAAGCAGTTGTAACACAGGTCATTATCAGCTTGACAAAATCATTGTGAAACCCCATCTGAATCATAAGTTTCTTTATACAAATCCATTCTACTCGATCAAAAGCTTTCACAAGATCTAATTTGAGGGCCATAAAGGCATTAGGACCAGTAGAATGTCTATTAAGGAAGTGGAAAGCTTCTTGGGCAATTATTATATTGTCAGTGATTTGTCTGCCCTCCAGAAAAGCAGCTTGAAGATCACTAATGCAGCAGGGTAAGCAAGACTTGAGTCTTTGAGCCAAAATCTTGGATATTAACTTGTAGATAATAGTACAAAGGCTTATTGGCCGGAATTGACTCAGAGTTTCAGGATATAAGCACTTGGGAATGAGAGATAACACTGTGTGGTTCCAGTATTTCAGAATAGTACCTGATTGGAAGAAGCTGAGAATTGCCCTCAAGAGATCCACTTTGATTAAACTCCAGAAATGTTGATAGAAAATGGCTGTCATCCCATCCTCACCAGGGGACTTATCAGCTTGACAAATAAATCAATAAAAAAAATTGGACAAAATTAAACATAAATTATATGAACACAGATACTAGGAAAAATACTTCTAAAGGTAAAAAAATACCTTTTGTTCTCTTTTGTGTTTATTCCTGGCATCTTCATCGTGAAACTCAGAAAAAATCGATTTATGCCTATGTGTGTTGCCCTTGGACCTCTTCAGTACTGATTTGTTAGCCTCAGAGCCATCCTCACTTTCTTCTTCATCCAGAGGAACACATTGTTCAACTTCGAAATCAGAATCGATGTCATCCGGATATTTAACCTTTCTCTTCCCCTTAGCATCTCCGTTTCGCTCCATAGCATTCTTCTGAGAAAATCGCTTCTTCTGAGCACTGGAACGAGTTATTGGGCATCTGAAATGCAAGTGTTCTCCCACAAACGACTTTCTCTGCTTGAAAACAAAGCCTTTGGTCTGCTGATTCTTCTTGCCAAACTGAATTTTCTTTTGAACAAGCTTCGACGACATTGAACTTCAAATTTTCGATGTTGTTGCTCCAGACTTCCTTCGCCTTCAGATGAAGTATCAGAGACATAATTTTCATCCTTAATTTTCGCCATCAATTCATCTGCAATTTGATTTCTGAATTTTACTTTGAACAAATTAGGGAAATATGAGGAAAAAAGATAATCATCGACATCAATTGATCTGCAATTTTTTGATATGTGTGTGTGCAGGTTGCGTGTTTGGGAGGAGAGAGATTTCAGAATCTCGATAAATCTTAAGATTACCGTTTTATTCACAGTAATTAGTATTAATTAATCAGAATCCACAAAGTGGAATTAAACTTTTCATAATTTCGTATTTGCGACCTCATGAAATCTATAGTGCGAAGATTTTTTTAATATCGTTAAATGGGCAGTATAAAAGAAAAAAGTCGTGAGAGGGGTAATTTTTTCTATATATTTGGTATTTACAACCAAAAAATAAGCTAAAATATTAACAAAGAATATTAAATATTAAATATATTTGTATAATATAAAATTTAGATGATATAGGTTTGTTTATTTAACCGATCAAAAAAAGCGATCATCTCGTTTTAGTTTGATTTGTGGCAAATCATTAAAAAAATAATTGCAATTGAAGTGCACATTAGTGTTTGATGTGTTGCACATTAGCAAGAGGCAATTGCACTATAGCGATTAAAAAATCAATTTAATTAATTTATTTTGTTGGAGTTTTTATTTGTTGTTACTTTTAAAAGTGTGGTTACAATACTAAATATTATTTTATAATGTAAATTGTATGTTATTCTGGTTAATTCGATTAATCGATTATATAAAGTAATTAATTTTCCAGCCCAAACCCCATGCACCTCCTCCAAAAAATTATTTTTTCGGTTTTAAATTAGTTTGAGACAAAATATCGGCCAATTCAAACTACACAATAGGGGGTAAAATCGTGCACAACATTGTTAGACTTATTCTATAATAATATATGATAATATGCACATTATTGGACATTTTATGTACTATTATTGTAAATACATTTTTGTTAAATTACATAATTGCTACAAGTAGCAAACTGTAAAATATGAAAATATATGATATTACATAGAAGTCCCCAAATCTTATTAAATTTCCATTTGAAGCCCCCAACTACAATGATTGTACAGACCCCAAAAAACACACTTGCACCACCGATTCCCTGTCACCATCTCGCCGGTACTGAATCCGTGTAAGCCGCCGCTGCCATCATGTTTCCTCCTAAGCCCTGGCCCCATTGTTCTTCCTCTGTCACAAACTTCCGGTGGTTCCGTACAATTCATAAAATCCAGCGACGAGCTCGGGCCTGTTCAGACGTATTTCTTCATCCAGTCGAAGAATCTTCATGGTCTCTAATAGTCGTCGATCTGGGAGCTGCCGCCGTGAGCTTCGAGGGCTATCGGAATCGGCAGACGATGGCGGCAGCGGGACTGTCGACGGTGACGACATGATCGGCGGTTCTTTTTGCGGTTGGATTGTGCCCATGGCGGGAATTTGGGCTGTCGGAGAGCAGGTCGTGGGTGTGTTTGAGTGACTGGGCAGTCAGAGAGCCGGTAGTGTGTGTTGTGTGTGTCGCTGCCAGGGTGTGTGTGTGTGTGTGTGAGAGAGAGATGCTGAAAATCAATTACGGGCACAGTGTTTGGGGAAGAGAGAGGGGAATGATATTGGTGTGTGGGGTCCACTGTGTTTTAAATGTGTATTGTTCATAGTGCCCTTAATATTAGTAAAATATATACATTTGACCACAATAATTATGTTAAATTACTAAATTGCCATTAATGATTGGCCAAGTTTTGACTTAATCATAACCATTGATGTAGTGTATCCAATGATCTAGGTTTATTCTTATTTCTTTCCCTATCTATCATTCTCACATGATCCTAACTCTATATCTCTCTTTTATCTTATAAGGAAGAGTTAGGATGTTTCTTACGCTGACACGT